CAGTGTCCTTAGAGGAAGAGCCATCAGCTCAGCATCATCTTTGTACTCAATTTTTCATGTTTTCTCTTGAATGAACTTCTGATGCAAGAAGTCAAAAAGATAAATTAATTTTAATGCATTTGCTCTTTTACAACACTTAGGTACATGAGGGACCAAACAGTAGGACAGGTGAACAACCCAAATGAACAAACAGCATCAGTTTGGGAGCTTCACCATCCCTTAAGCAGCAATTTCTTGCATTTTATTCTCTCCCAGTCCTAAATGGTGGGTCCAAGGAAAATTACTGGCAGAGATAGGAGAAAAAGATCCAGAGGACCAGTGTTACCAGTGTTCCCAAATCCTGTGCACTCTTTCATGTCTTCCAGGTAACACAAAGCAGCTAACATCAGCCTGCCTCAGGGCTGGCCTGGGTCTCACCACAGCTGCTTCCAACTCCAACTCAGCCAGGACCAGCCTGCATGGACTCCCTACCCTTCCCCCCTTCCTTAAAAGGATCCTCATCATCCCCTTGAGCTCAGGGGAGCCAACAAACCAACAAACCAGCATCCACAAAGCACTGAGACAAGCGAGCAGCACAGGGCAGTGCAAGTGCTCAGCCAGCCCAAGGCAGAGGCTGAGACATTTCACACCACTGCTGCCAATGTCTGCACTGCCGGCAGGAACACTGTGGGGCCACGACAGGAAATTGGGTCTTAATCACCAGCTCACTTTTCATTCCCCACTTCAGTTCTGCTATTTTAGCAGCTGCTGAGAGCTGGCTCTGCACTTTCAGATGAGCAGCCGTTGGGGCACAGGGTTTAGCTTGAGTGTTTTCACTCAACTGAGGCTGCAACTCCAAATGCAAAGAGCAAAATGAGGCTGGGGGAGGCTCGGGGTAGTGATTTGATACCAATCAAGGCTTTAAGACACAACCAAACAAGCACCAGTCTCTTGCACAGGCTGACACTGCCTGGGACAGGCAGCCAGGCTGGTGAGGCCACACAGGCAGGACAGTGGCACTGTGCAGACCTACTGACTGGGCTTGCTGCCCACTTACAACAGCTGTGTGACATGGTCCAATGCAGATGTGTCTCCAGGTGCTTCCCCTCCTCCTTGCTAATAGGACATCTATAGATCTGCTGCAATAGCAGGGTCAGCTAGAGCAGCTCCCTGCTCAAGCCTTGCAGCACCCAGGGAGAGCCCCTTTGCAGGGGGAAAATCTGCTGCCACCATAACCAGTGCAGATGGCAGAGCCAGCACCATACACCTGCACCAGGGACCATCTGAAAGGGAGAAGGTGCTGGGAGCTGGAAAGAGACACAGCCAGAGCCCAATGGAACAACCCTCCCTGTGCACCAGTGTAAGGATGCTCACCAAGCACCCATTAGCCTCTGCTCCCCATGCTCACATGGCCTGTGGACCTCCAGAAGGCAAGTGTTAAAATTATGAAATCCTTGAGCCAAGACAGAAACCAACATTTGCCACAAAACTAATTGAATCTTTGAGGAAAAGGACAGTATTTACTGTCCCTGTACTGCCTCAAACAACACTATTCCTGAAAAGATTCTGCACTGTTCTTGTGCCATGCCCTCAAGTCCTGCTTTGCCTCCCCACCACATCCACAGGTCACAGATGCAGTGGGTGCACAGACTGTAGGTGACTCAGCCACTGCCAAGTTGCAAGTGACCTACAGGAGTTTTCCCTTCTCCAAGCTGGCCTTGATCTGACCACTATCTTCTTCAGAAAAGGATGGCAAGTCAGACTTGCTGCAAGAAGGACCCACTAAACTTGCACTAACACCCCCCTCTCTCCCCAGGCAGCCCAGGGCATGAGCACTGCTACAGCAAGTGTAGGATTCATCTCATCCACCCTAGAGCCATCTGAAGTATCCTATCTAGTCAGAGTGAGCTGGCTGGGGCACGCCACATCTCATCAAAGAAAGGTGTTTGCAGCCTTGGCACCTGCATCCAAACAAGTCGGCACAGGGTGCTTCTGCAGGTGATGAAGAATCTGCCACACAGCCAAGGAAGGTGAAGGTGCAATTTGTCCCATCCATCAGGGGCCCATCACACCTGAAACCCTGTGGACAGCGTTGACTAGATTGCCCCTGGCTGCAGCAGAAACCAAAAGCTGCACTGCTGACCTACATGGTGGGGGAACACTCCCACCTTGCCAACCAGTCAAGTGCAAAAAAGCAGACACTTCCAGAGGGCAAAACTGCTCTCAAAGCCTAACTTCAGCACCTGACATGTCACTGCCTCCACCTCAGTGCACTTCCAGCCCTTAATCCTCCACTGCCCCAGTACAGGGAGACAGAATAGATATGCCACATTTCAGCTTCCCACCTGCTGCTCCAGTTCTCCCAGTAAGCAAAGATGGGCTTGTGCTCATACAGAACAAGGGGTAAGGTGCAGATGCACATCAGCTCATCCTTAGCCCTGCCTCTGTGGGTAGCAGCTTTTGGCAACCAGGTAGGTTGGGAACTAGGAGCAGCAAGATCTCAAACAGCTCCACAGGGATTCATTTCACATGAGGATGGTTATCAGAGCGTGCAGATGAGTAGTACCTTCAGCACAGCTGTATTAACACATCTCAATAAAACTCCCTGAGACTCCAAGACAAAAAATGCCACATGGGCAGCTAATTTCCACCTAATAGCACATTTTCCTTTGGCAGAAGTTATAGACTGCGAGTGCTTCATGAGCCATTTGCAGGAACATTTGTAGGCACTACTGAGGAACTCAGAAACTTAATTATCTCTTTTAAAATGACCTGTGTGATTTAAAAACCTATTTGGACTTCAGGTGCCCTGGGATCTGTAATCCCTGATTTAGTTGCTTAGCTGGCACAATCTTGAAGTTACCATACAGGCCATTCACGTTGCTATAAATTGTTCTACCTACTCACCAAACCCTCAAATATGCCCCCAAATTCACCATCCCAAAATGACAGAGAGAGAAGCAAAATCCCAACAATCACCTCCTTATCATTATCCGCTACCTGCCTGAGCTTCCCAAATGATGGCAAGAGCACAAAGCCCCTCTACTGGGGTGAGCAAACTTTCATCACAAACAAATGCCCAAACATCTTTAGACATAAAAAATATATAGATTTAGGGAAGTTATTATGATTCTCGGAAACTTTTTGCAATGCTATTACCAAGGCTCACCAGCAGTTTTTAGAGCCCAGTGGCAGTTCACAGCTTGAACCCAAAGACATACCACACACAAACCCTCTTACTAATACTGGCCTGCAGGGCTGGAAAGCCCCTGTGCCTCTCTCAGTTCGTGCTGCACTGAGGTGACATGCCTGGGTGCTTGATTTGAATATGTAGAGCTGAGACCACCCACGGGGGAAGCACAGATCCTGCCTCTGAGCTGCCACCCTGACCCCAGTGATGCAAGGTGAATGGGGCAGGGACAAGTGCTCTCATTCCTCTACCCCAAAAATATTTCCACTAAGTGATGGTTAAGAGCATTCATCAAAATTTTGGGGCTTTTTTAGACATGCCAATGAGGGAGGATATGGCCAAAGTGGAAGAACCTGCTGGTAAATTCCTGCTGCCCTGGCCCTTGCATTCACTGACTGATGCTACATGATCCCCAAATGCCAAACTCCCATCCTTTCTACCAAGAGCAACATCAGATTATCACTCAAAAAAATTTAGTCCTGAGGTAGTTTCATAGCATGTGAATATCTCTGATGCAGAGCCTAAACAGAGGAGGCCTTAAAGGCATTTTCTACTCTATGAAGCAGGGACCTAACTGAGACTATGTTACAAGCCATCATGCAGGAGTTTCTGCTGGAGCCAGATGCAAGAAGTTTTTTTTTTATTTTACACAAGATCAGGATCCAGTTCTTTACTCCAAAGGGCTGTTACAGCCTGAAGAACACAAGCTCCAATGAATGTAGCAAAGAATCAAAAACACAGAACTATAGAATGGGTTGGGATGTAAGGGATCCTCAAGGATGATCTAATCCAACCCCCTGCTATGGGCAGGGACATCTCTCACTAGATCAGGTTGGAGCTCTGTCCAGCCCAACCTTGAACACTTCCAAGGATGAAGTGTTCCACATGAAGCATCCACAGTTTCTCTGGGCAACCTGCTCTAGTGTCTCATCACTCTCACAGTAACTGCTGAGACCTAAATCATGCTGCTGGGACACAGCACAGATTTTTCTTCCAGGCTCTGGTTCATGTTTGCTGAGAAATCAGGTGCAGCACCTGACATGCCTCCACTGCCCCACTGGAAGGTCCTGCCCCAGGATCCTGGTGGTGAAAGGGACACACTGCTCAAGCCACAGCTTCTCAGTCATGGTAAGCATCTTCCTGGAAACCAAACATCCTCAGCAGTTTAAAGATGGTATGAACCACAGGTGATGCCCAAGAGTGCAGTACAGGTGGGGTCCCAGCCATCCCCAGTGACACCACCCACACACAGGTAGGTACATCAGGCAGAGCCACATGTGCTGCCATCACTGGCAGCATGGCCTTTGCTGCAATGCTCCCTTGAAAAATTTCTCCTTTTATCTTCAAATTTCCACATTGCTGTATGGTCCTTTGCACCCATCCAAGCTAAAGCCACCTCCATCCCTGCCATCCCACGTGGGTTAATACCTCCCCAGGAGCTGCACATATCCCCCACCTTCACAGCTCAGCTATCCTGCTATCACAGCTATCCTGCACATATCCCCCACCTTCACAGCTCAGCTCTTGTTGCATCTCCCCCAAGGGCAGGCTCCTTTCTCTTGCTCATCACTTCTTAAATCTCATCACCTATTGCTCACACAGCCTTGAGACCAGTGGTTTTGGAAGCAAAAGGAGGTTCAGACAGGTGCTCTCAGGTAGCAAATTTGTCCCTGAATGTAGCAATTCCAGGGCCTCTCATGGAGCTGAGTTCATCGGGTACAACTCTCACTTGCCATTGAGTCAACGGGGTTTTTTTTTTTGCACTTTACTGCAACCAGTATTTTTCCCTTAATGATTCAAAAGTAACATGCTGCAACAGCAGCTGTCTCACCTGTTTCTACACCTTCTGGTTTGTTCTGTTGAAGAAGAGGTGTAATGGCTCTGAAAAAACACAAACAAAAAAAAAACCACCAAAGAATCGAGGAAAGACACTAATAGCATCTATTAAAAAGACAAATATTGCATGTCCTGGAGAACAGCTATAAAAGCTGCAGCCTTTCAATCCTAGCTTTCATTTCAAGGTGACATGAGCTGCCCCGTACCCTGTACCCCACTGAAGAAAGCAAAACCTCCCCTCCCTGCCAACCCTTTAGATGGATAAACCAAGGAGAAAAGGTGCCAGAGACCCAAAGCACATTCATGGAAAAGCATGGACAGTGAAATTAAGGTTTCTGGCTCTTGGCATCACACTACAGCTGTTATAAAACAGGATATCCATCTCAGCAGCAGCTATCAATACTCCAGCATGAGTCATCTGCAATACTTATCTAATGGTGAGTAAGCTGCTCCTGTCAGTCATACTTTCCAGATAAATCTGTGAAGAAAACAAGAAGGAAGAAAAAACCTATCAGAACATGTTATCAGAGAAATAAAATGTAGGGCATGGTATTTGGTCAGCAAGACAGCACACAAAGTGGCAGAGGAAAAGGTGGTTTGGGGGTCATTGGATGAACCATGCTACACCAGGAGCTCCAAGACAAACATCGGGGTCCATATGAGTGAAGTACCACTAAATCAACCACAATGTGACCCTTCCTGCTGGTGGAGGCTTCAGCCAGCACCTATGGCAGGGACTGTGCATGACACAGCTTTTGGGACTGGGACTCCAATGTACAGATGGTGTCAGCCTGGGGGGTTGTGCTCATCACTTCCCTGCCTGGCAGTGATTGTCCAAGTGAGGACACAGTGCTCAGGAAGATTTGCTTGGGGTCAGGGTCTTTAACATCCCCAGCAGCAGGGAAACCCCAACCCAGCCATGCACTGGGTGCAAAACAATCCTAAACATGGGGGATGCTTCCCCACCTCCCCCAGTTTTTACTAAAGGACAACAACTAAATTACAAATAATTTAGTGGTGAAAATAATGACAGGAAAAGATAAAGACACCTTCTTTCAAGTCTGTTTGAGGAAAGCAACTCTGAATGACCACACAGGCTCATTTGCATGCAGCCATATGCGACCTTTGTGTTCGCTGCCTGCCTGTGCATTGTAGACTCTGGTGAGCCACAGGAGGTGAGGCCAAGCCTCAGAAAACTTTCTCACAGAGAAATTACTGCTGGGGAGGTGGAGGAAATACCCCAAGGGTCTCCCAAGGGGGTATGGGTGCCTCACAGAAATTTCAGAGGGGAGCTGGGGAGCGGAGGCTGTGAGGGGAGAAAATTCCAAACACCTCACCAACTTCACATGCCAGAAAGTGAGAGAAAACCCCATGCATGAATCACCCTGTGCTGATACCTCAGAGCCACTAAAGTGTTTCACACAGGCTGCCATGCAGCCTCCTGCCAGAACAGAGGAGCCCATTTGCTGTTCTTGCAGCCCAGCTGTGAGGCTTTGTGGGCAAGGGAGCCCAGGGTGGGCACAATGCTCCTGTCAGCTTGCCTGCAAGTGGGGACAGGCACAAGGGCACGGCTGTGGGAACCAACACACATCCACCAAACCCCAAGACCTCCACACCCAATACTGAAGCCTGAGATGGCCACCTCAATCTCCTCCTAACTGGAAGGGACTGGAAAATAAGAGCTCTTGTCATGGCTAGCATTTCATAGAATCTCAGAATGGTTTGGGTTGGAAGTTGACCTTAAAGATCATCCTGTCCAAATAACTGCCATGGCCAGGGACAGTTTCCAGGTTGCTTAAAGCCTCATTCTGGTTTTGTGCACTTCCAGGCATGGGCATCTACAACTTCTGTGGGCAAACTGTCACAGCATCTCATCACCCTCATCATAAAAAAATTTCTTCCCCATGTCCAAACCAAACCTAGCGTCTTTTAGTATGAAGCCATTCGCCCTTGCCCTATCACTCCATGTCCTTGTCAAAAGTCTCTCTTCAGACCTCTTGTAGCCCCTTCAGGTGTTCTAAGGTCTCCCCAGAGCCTTCTCTTCTGCAGGCTGAACAACCACAGCTCTCAGGGCCTTTCCTCACAGGTGAGATGCTGCAGCCCTCTGATCATCTCCATGGGCTCCTTGGACCTGCTAAAACAGGTCCATGTTCCTCTCAGACTGGGGACCCACTGCTGGGCATTTCACACTGCAGCCCCAGCACTGCTCAGGGTGATCTCTGCTTTCCCTTCCTGCCCTGAGGACAAAGTGCAGGAACTGACACAATAAAGAACAAGCTAGACTGTGATTTTTCTCTGGGTTAGATTTTGTTCAAGTCAGTGCTGCAGTGCTGCAGAATCATGTGCACCCAGGCACCACCAGCAGGGATGGGATCAGTTTGAAAGACTAAAGACAGTGGGACCAACCCCTGTGGCATGGGCACACTCACACTGGGTGAGAAGGGCCACATAACCCCACCCTCACATGTCATTCTCAGCACTTAATTTTCATCAGCCAAGGAATAAAACTGATTCCTTCATTGGAGCAAAGCTCTATATGGGGACAGCCATTTAGAAATAAAACCAGGCCAACTTAGTCTCTCCTGAAACCTCAGACTTATTTTCATATACATATTTTTCTCCCCTTTTTTTTTTAATAGGATTGAGAAAGGCCTCACTGGAGCATGAATTCCATAAGCACCCACCTCAGACAAATACATAATCCTGCCCAGAAACAAACCAAACACCTTAATCCCAACACTTTTATTAAAAAGTTTCCCCGAAAATGAGAAACTTACTTTCTATGTTCAGCCTAATTACCACCATAACAGGTGAGACCCATTTGCTCCTGAAGCATCAGCATCCTTCTGTCTCAGCAGGTCATCCATCTCCTCCCAGATACACCTGCACTGGGTTGAACAAGCAACCTGCTGCTCCAGGCTTTCCCATCCCAGGTCTTCCTGTCCACCTCTTCCCATGTGTGAATTTATCTGAAGAACATGAGAACTGGACCCAGTAAGCACTCTTGGTTCTTACCCAGAACCTTTCTAGGTTCTCCACTGAGACCCTCCTATTAGCCTTTTTTAATTTTGGGGTTGGGGCTTGATTTGGTGTTTTTTGTTTCAGTTATGCTGTATGATCAGCCTTTTAATTGCCTTTAAAATGGCAAAAGATGCATTACATATGAAATTAGTATGCAGGGAAGAGGGGGGGAAACTGTCATATCTTCTTGCCAAGATGCAAATGAAGTGCTGAGTAGGAACTGAACTGGTCACAGATGTAATCTAGCCTTGTCGGTGCTTTGGAGCATGTGTGATACAATATTAGACCCAAATTAGGAGATTCTTACAAATGAAAAGACCACTTTGCCAGCTCAATTTTCAGTGAAAAAAAAAAAAAATAAAAAGCAAGAGAGGTCTATTTGGTCTAATATAGCATTTAGCCTAGCCAGTTTTGCAGGAATAAAAAGAACAAAATCAATAATAACCTATGTAGCAACCTATCACAGTTCTGCACATTTCTATCAGTAAATATATTTAGCTGTATTACAAGGATTGCCCATCTGTATTACGATACAAAGGCAAACAAATGTGCACTGCCAGCTTTGGACCAAGGCTCTGGAATTTACAGAAGCAAGGAAAAATCAACAGGGGCTTTGCCTGAATAAAGACCGCTGGTTTAAGCACACAAGGCTTGTGCCAGTGTTCAGTGAACCAGCTTGGCCTGCATGTGTGTGTGCACAGTTAAAGATAACCATCTCAATATATTTATATCAAAGAGGGAGAGCGAAAAAAACCTCACATGCAAAACATGGTGACGTTCTCACAGATCTTGCAGATCTGGAGGCAACTGAGCTGCGCTCTCACAAGAGGTCACAGCTCTGGAGTTAATAACCCTCTGACATGGGTTTTCCGAAAGGGGACCTCATTTGACTGCCCCTACAACTGCTGTTGTACACAAAACTGGTGCAAAAGTCACATAGCAAGCATGTGGTGAGGTGATGCAGCACTGCAGTCATTCAGCTCCTCATTTTCTGCAGGCTGGAGAACAGTTTTGGATTCCTTATTTTGGGCTTGGAAGTTTAGAGATTGGATTCTTAAAAGCAAATGTGTGAAAACACTGTTGCTCCTAACCACTAGTGTGTCTGTTTGCTTAAGTAGCTTTGTGCTGGTACTGGTGAAGCAGTTGTGTTTTTAATGGAGCAAAATCGCAGTCGCTGGTGGAATTCAAGAGAAGTGCAGCTCAGCATCATCTCCTCTGCTGGATTTGCATCTGGTTTGGTCACTCAGCTCCATGCAGCTGCTCCAAGTGCACCTCCCAATCCCTACAGTAACTAGCAATTCTCTTGGGGTGTAAATATAGCTGTCACCAGAGATGTCTGCAGCCATTAATTAAATTTCCTGCTCTAGGTACTGCGTACCTCTCTTCGAAAGCAGCAGCCTTGACTCAGCACACGCCAGAGAGAGGGAGAGGCCGTGATGCTTCACTTTCTTGAAAGGTCAGCAGGGGAACGCCCCGGAAACCCTGAGTAGCAACACCTCGTCCTTAACCCAAGTACAGGAGCTGTATTTAGGCAGCTGACTGATCACAAGAGCTGCAAGGACACGCGTCTGTTCAGCAGCAACCAACTGGAAATGCGGATGCCTTTTATTAGCCGCCCTTGTATTTAGCTTGGCTCGGAAAAGCGTGCTGCTCCGCTGGTGGGTCCTGCAGCGTATGGAAGAGCAGTTATTAGTGAAGCTAATTACAAACAACGTGGCTACTTAGAGGGCTAAAAATAGCGTGGTGTATTAATAGATGGAGTGAAAACTGGGACACGGAAGATGACGGTTTTGATCTTGAGTGCAGCAGCATCCTACGCGATCCCGGGTAATTCTCTTCACCTGTGTGTTTTGTTTTCACAGCTTACAAAGCAGGCAGGAAAACCTCTTCTCAGAAAGGCTGAGAGGCTGAATTCCTCAGCATCCTGGAGCACTGAGAGGTCCTCTCTTGTACCGCCACACAAGTGGAAAACATTCCTGTGTCAGCCAAACTGGCTCTGTGACAATAATTTCACGCCATTTATGTGGCAACTCAGGCGACAGTTCCCAGAAAGCTGTAACATTTACCTTAAATACCTGAGTTCACTAGTCACTGATCAAAGGAATGCAGCCTTTGGAAACGGTTTCCAGTTGACCTGGGGCTTCTGGAGCAGAGCAGCAAGTGAAGCCCTCGGTGCCTGCCACCGATCTGCAGACAGGAAAACCATTGCAAAGGGGGAAGCATCTGACTCACTTATTCCGTGCCAACTTTAGCCAATTAAAAAACCGTATGATTTGCATCTTCCTAATGACCAGAGGCACAAAGACTAGCAATGACACCATAAACCCCTCTGCCTCCCCACCAGACAAGCTCAGTCTCAGCCCAGCATCTGCGAGCACACACATGAGAAATCAAGCTTTTCCTTCCCCCCAGTCTGTAGCCTCTCAGCCAATCTAATAACAAGAGCAAACAGGACCC